TTTAAAAACCCGGATACATAAGGCTGCTTGAGTGGGTGTGGTGTAGCAATCTCTTAATTAATGAAGGTGACCAAATTGGTTATGATCAAATCAATGGCTTTTTGATGATTCAGACATAGTCCATACACCAACCATCGGACTTTAGAAATGCGCTTGGCCAAAGAAAACCGGCCTCAACATAACAACAATAAATCATTGAAATGGAAATTTAAAGATTCCGTTTTATTGCATAATAAATTCATATGATAATTAACAAACACGCCCGTAGTCAGAGTTTCATGACCTTAATGTAAAAAGTTTTAATTTCCTAAGTGAACTACAAGTTCTATTCCATCACATAAAAACTATCATGAACCACTTCCCGCAAATAAATAAGTATTTACATTTCTTTACGTAATTATACTGACAAACAAACTACTTTCATCCAACCACAAAAACGAAACATGAAGTTCACGACACGCTTAACTAGATGAAAGGGATTTCTTGCTCGAAGCTGCAAGAAACATAAGAAGATTACCAAGGAAACACCTCAACATCGACATTTAAATCGTTCTAGAGCTTGAGGATGGAGTGTTAATCCTCTATCTAAATGTGGACATGTCTCCATTATTGGGTGTAATTGAAAGAACCAGTTGCCGAACGTTTTGCGATGCAATCTTCTTAATTAGAGGGGTTGTCACTTGAGTTGAAATGTTTTACGGAACTACCTAACAGATTATTGAATATTACGTTATAAATACTCGTCAGAATAACTTAGGCGAAATCACACATTATATATTCATGAAGTTTTTCAAACTAGTCTCGTTAGTCGTCTGTTGAGGCGAAGGAAGACGGAAAAAGGAGGAAATAACTTTCAGTGCAGTGATACTTTCGTTACTATCCAACACTAGTATCATTACATATAAATGTATTGGATATGTAGATTTGTTTACTAAATAAAACACAAACAACTTAACTATCACAAACGAGTTCTAATACTTTTAATACTTTTCTTTGAAATGACAATCAAACAAAGGTAGGTATTTTAAGCCAAGTATGAATGGAGATGAGTGTAGGATAAGTGGCGCGATCTTGTAGTCTTGTTAGTGACTAAGGCCGACATTTTCCTTGGACACAGCTGTTAATTAAGAGCCCATACAGCTAGGGACCTTCATGTTTTAGTGGAATCCGAACTCCATTTTTGCCTTGGTATTAAAGAATTGGTCTATCAGGATAGTACTGTGGATAGTCGTAGTACTCATTTGTGCGGACGTTAATCCACACCAGCGAGTATTGCATCCACAGTGCATGCCTATAAATATCCACAATTCGTGACCTCCTAGTAGCTCGATTACAGGACGTCGCCACCGTCCCTGTATACAATGATAGTGTATCATCCAGTGTAGGTTAAAATTGGTTTGGATAAAATTGCATCCTTACACAATTTTCATTTCATTCAATTATTACCTTCAAAAACAGTTTTGTAATATACTTGAAATAGCATACACATAAACCGTGTAAAGAATAATTATATCAAACGAAATATAGTAAATCACGCGTTTCGTACTAAGGAGTCAAATATATTCCATTACCACATGACACGCGTTAAACGATTTGCTTTGACACAAATAGTTTATTATAACGTAACAAATTATTAAAGAATTTCTGAAACTTACTGAATGCTTTTAGATTCGGCTTGAGATTAATAAAGTGAAGGTGAAAAGAAAGAGACCGAACTCATAATCATATCCAAAAGGTTGAAGCCCTCAGGCGGATCGGTTTATACTATAATCTCTTATGTAACGTTCTATGGTGATCTTGCCTTGTGGTTTAGTGAAATCTAGGGTCCTTGACACCACTAAAACCTCTCTCCTGAATTTGTGTTAAACTATGTACTTTTCGTAGGATAGTAAATAATCGTGTAACTATGAATCATATTCAGGAAATTATGTGTCTTGCGTAGTCAGGTAGCACTACTCATAGCAATGGAAATCGCAATTAGCCCTAGTTATGAAATTATAACATTATGTTTGGAAGCTACAGATAACTCTGTGATGACTTAGTTTAGTCTTTGGTGAATGTTAGGATTTACACTCGACCCACTAGTACAGAAGGCCCGCGCTCTACGAACCAGCCATATGAACCTGAAACCCAGTGGTTTTGAAGTTCCCATTAAACTTTACATTTATGTAATATACACGTACCTGACGCAGCGGCAATCCTTTCCCTGACTGAAGAGGACATCCATGTAGCCTTAAAACACTCCTCATTTCAGCTCATTTGAACGTCACCATCACATAACGTCACCTAAAAAACAAAACAAGGATAAGTTTCGCAGGAGACTATATATTTGAGGGGAACCTCTACAGTAAACCAGATGAACTACCTTCGCAATTTTTGGACCAGCCTCGATAAAAAGGACACGGCTACAATTAAGGAAGTGTGAAAAGTTATCTTCAATACATCTGCGGAGGATTATGTAACTTCGGATGAACACCGGACGTTAGCTTCCAGGATGACTACAACTCGGCACGCGCATGTGCATGACGACATTGGCATGAACAAGTAGGTCTACAACCCTACAGCCATCCTGCTATAGTTGGTATGAAGCTTTCTCGATGCCTAGAGCACCTCCTTTTGTGAAGTTTCAGAGGGGTGATTGGATTACATTTGATTACAATTTTTTAGGTGTGTATGGTACCGACACACCCTGTAACATAACATAGGTTAGCTTAGGTAAGGTTCGGTCAGGTTAGGTTACATTAAGTTAGGTTGGGTTAGTTTGGGTTATGGTCACAGAACATTTTAAGGATAAGTTAAGTGTAGGATGAGATATAAGATGTTAGATTTGTCAGTGACTCAAATCAGCTGGTTCATTACGATTTTATCAGCTAGGACGATTTACGAAAATCCCGATTAACAAGGAGAGATGCGTTCAGTTTTGAGCCATAAAATAGCTTCTGATTTTTCTGAGGGTCGGACTAGTGACCTTATCGTACTAAGCGAGAACTAAATCCACTTAGCTATACAGTGATGATCTCACTGCGGATATAAAATGCTGCTGACAAATTTTAGCTGAGAACCTTTTTCTTCCGACCAGAATGCGTGTATCCTTTAATGAATGATAATCTATCTATATACCTAGAACAGTAAGGGATTCCCCTGCTACATACCTTTTTCATCCGTTCAACTCAAAACACTTTTAGAAATGTGGTGTCAGTGTGAAGATTATGACCTATGGGGTTGGCAGTCTAAGTCTTTTTTGAGCTCATTTTCAAAGATGTAGTAATTCTGACCATATTTCTTATAACGGTTTTCATGTTAAATTAATCTCGTTTGTAACAAATATAATACAGCACTGACGTAAAACACAGACCAGTAATTAATTAACTATTTTGTCAGTGTGTTAAGGTTGAACCATAGATCATGTACTCTACAGTCAATTGTTGTCCTAACCACTCCACCGCTGCGAGTTGAGGTTTACTTATGCAACTGACAAGGAAGTAAATTGCTTTGTTTTCTGTGGTTAGAGGCTGTGTTTTATTCCTCAAAATAACATTCTATTGTGTAAGATGTTCTGCAATACGGTAAATATTACCAAACATAAGTACGACAAGGTTCACTCAACTGGATGTGAGACATTTGATATTTTTATTGATATTCGAATATCTAGTATGCAAAGATAAAGTGACGATTTTTATTATATCATCAAATATTACCAACAACGCAAAACACTTTGTGACAATTTAGTAGTATGAGATGAATTGATCAGAAGAGAGAGTTTATTGAAAGTTTTGAGAAACTTATTTACATAATTTAACTCAAACTCTGACGAAAAGTTTAAACTACTCTACGTTTAAAAGTTTATTAGAATTATTCACAAAGATTTCTTCACTCACATTCACAAAATTTCTGTGAGCAAACCCCTTAAACGCTAATGGATGTTATTTAGTTTGTCGTTGAAAACATATTTCATCTCGGGGGTTGAAAGTTATCACTTTCCTGTGTAATGGCATGAGAACCTGTGCCAAAATATTCACATTTAACCTGCTTGTAGTCTAATAGTAGTAAAGGTAGAACTGTGTTTATTTGTAAAGCAATTATCGCTCATTTGTAGGAGTCGTCTTCAAGCACTTCTCTGTATACATGTACATGTACTGTACAATCATAGAAGTATTTATGCTACTGCTCGCTAATCCAACACTAGCATAATACTTAGGTGGCTTAGACTAATAAACTAGAGAGGCTGGATTCTATACTTTTTAAGTTTCATGGATCGTCACTTCTAATCATGTGTAGTAATTGGAAAATATTTACGTCCAAAAAAATTGCAGATGAAAAAGAAACACTGCAGAGTATTGTAATGAACGTCCCATTTGGGCATGTATGCTTTTTGGGTTGAAACTTATTGAAATGGAGGGTAAAATAATATCAAATAATGTTTTTTTTGTTTTTTTTTTTTTAGTTTGGGCTATAAGTCGTATTATCTCATAGTTCCTAAACCAAATACATCCTACACCACAGAATTGTGCGTGGCCGAAACCTTCCGGTATTCAACGAAAAGTTCTTTCAGTGATCTAGAATCTTATTCAAACAAAAGAAACATCACTACATATCTACATCTGTTTAATTAATTAAAACTCTTTGAGTTTCTCCCAAGGAAATCATTTTAAATACTTAGATTTCCGCGGTGGTCCCCAAGATAGTTCCTATCGTCACATCTGCAACCGACTCCCGCCAAACCTGCTATTACAGCTGATTACTGCCGCCAAAAACCGTGTTTATCATCAGTTATCTAAATTTGTGATGGCAACTGCGAATTAAACGAAGCTAAGTTAAGATTTCTCTTCTCGTTTGACTTGTTCGCCCACTGCACATCCTTGTGCTAGATATCTTACCAGTTTTAGGTAATAAAATAAATCAACGAGTATTTCTTCATATTACGTAAGATATTATACATATTTACAAACCTTCGTAGTTTGAGAAAATGGATTTTAATAATTTTGTTTTCTGGTTTTCAGATGTTGATTTGATACGATAGCAGCTCGATTGACTGGTGACTGGAATTGTTACGAACTTAAAAGGTAAGATCGCAGAAGTACTTAAAAATCTGTAACTAAACACTGATTACTTTGTTTACATTTTGGTACTTGTATTGGCTTACCGAATTACTTGACTTTTTACAAAGGTTATTTAAAAACATACCTTTTTGGTGTTTCAACTAATATTCTCAGTTCAACGTACGAATTAGTATAAACAGAAAGATTTGTAGATGACTTTTAACATTCAGTACACATAAGCAACTGTCTTGTACAAACCCTATGTTGATGACACTTCATCAGTTGTTCTATTGTGCTTCACTTAGGCTAATACTTATTTCACAGTTAGTGTTTAACTGTTTTTAGCAACGTGTTACATAAAAAACTCTATGACACAAAGTTAGAATTGTAATCTGCATTTCAAATATTCGTAAAGAAAAACAGTCTTTAGACATGTTACCTGTGAACATTAACGTAAAAAATACCCAATTTTAAGTGGTCATCTGAATCTGCAACGCAATTCGTTTCGATAAGCCATAACATGATGCTATATGAATTCGATTTAGTGGGTTAAAATGAATGAAACTAATGGATACCTCCAAAATATATTGACCCTCTTTCACCCTTTTTTTACGATTCCTTACATTTATTTTTACACAAACAACTGTCTGGGCTGACGAGTGGTTTCAGCGCTCACAGTGATTGCCTTGCCCAGAATCAATTTAGAATCTACTGTATATGTTATTCGTCATTGGGCTACAATTAATGATGCTGTTTAACAGTAAACACTCAATATTAACAACACCATTCGCCTAAAACCCGTAATATATCTTTAAAAGCATACATTTTGTGCGAAATTGTCTTCGGTGTGAGTACCAACGTATGGACTCGGTGACATTTCAACTAAAGAAGCCAAGGGGAGTGAAGAAGGATATCCTTGTTCTGTTTTGAGCCACATGTGCGCGGCGCAGGCGGCCCTTTGATATATATACTGTCGAGCCCTACCTCATCTTGGCCCTGATACACTGTGTGAAGTGTGTAGTGTACATGGGACACATTTACAATGCATAAAGCAAATTTAGTTACAAAAATTTCTAAAATAGAGCATTTTTACATGCATTTCATACATTTTCCGGGAGAGGTCTCCTGGACCCCACCTTTTCAAGTGGGTTATTCCCCAAGTCCCCTTAAACAGTGGATGGACGCCCATTATGATGTTATATTCTACATTGAGATACATGACTCTTCTGATAAAGATGTAGTAATGTATGTTAACGAAAGTTTACTGTAACAACTGATAAAAACTAGTTGAAAATACTTTATCCTTACATGAATTAAATATTTGAGCTTATAGTTCCTAAAGTTTAAAATTGATCTTTTCTTGAACAAAAACTGATCATTTACAACCGGTGGATAACATAGTTGATGAATGTAATGTTGACGCATAAAAGCTTACTTTTAGTTAATAATGTGTTAAAATAATTTGATGGTTAATATTTTTTTTAACTTTTGTTCTCATTTTTTAATATTTGTAGCTCATCTCCCATACTTAAGACAGGGCTACTCACTACTCATAATATTATGGAATTCAAGATCACTAAAATAGAATATTTTCATCACTAGGGCGTAAAGTAGCTCTTTTTGACCCGAGTCAAATTTTATAGTCGTAAAATGGGAGAGGGTTGAAAAGACAGTTTTTCCCTGTGATAAACAATATTTGTCGTCATATTGCACAATTATTAAAACTAAGCTACAAAAAGACAATACTTTTCATGTAAAGATAACCCCTCAAAAATACTACTAGCTTGTTTTTAATTTTGCTTCAAATCAAGCAGCTGTAAGCGATTCAAGTTTGATTATTAAGAGATTCAATAATTTTGTCTATTACGATTATGTTAGTGCACGTTGATGTATCTAACTATTGACAAGAATGCGCTGATACATAGCCGATTAAAACAAACGATACATTGCGATTGTTTTCAATCGAAGTTTCCAGCTTAGGTTACAACAGTTGACTTTTACTCCTTAGGGAGTAAAAGAACTGCTTTAGCCCGCAACACATGTATTTAAAACGGCTGTTTTTGATGAACTATGATGGAAACCCTTTGTTACACTCTAGTCGTCCACAAGTGCACGTTTTACAACATTTTTTTTTAATTTTCACCCACAATACACTCCAAGTAAGCCTCCAAACACGAAAATGCTATAATATATTAAATATTTCCTCTCGTTATTAACTATAAAGATGTAACGACCCATAATACATAACAACCGCATGAATCATGCCAAAGTCACTCGGCCAGACACCAGTGGGAGTCGTTTACTGCGACACTGGGACAATATTCTGTTTTGGGCTTTGTGATTCTCGCTCTTAAACTCCTGATTGACAGCAGATTAAGGCTTGCATAGAGATGAGGACATAAAGACGGACACACCACGTGCGGGGAATGGACCAGACGGCCATTATTCATACACAAGTATTTGTGGTCCTGAGGTAGTGGGAGGGAGGGGGTGTTAGGAGTAGTCTGATTTGAAACACTATGAAATTACTTGGTAGCCAATCTAATTTAGGCTTATTTATTTACGGATTCGCCATTTTTAACCAATTGGTGATGTTGCTTGTTTTTAATTTTGCTAATGCAAACCAACAGCTGTAGTAAATGATTTGATAATTTCGTCTATTCCGACTATGTTTAACTCTTCACAACATTTAGTGGGTTTGAGGTTAATCAAGTAATTCCATTTCCTCCAACCGTGTAAATGATACATTGATGATGATCCCTTCTACCTTTTAAATGATAGCTTGATAAAGATGATTATCCCTCCTACCTTTTAAAAGATGGCTTGATGATGATGATCCTTCCTACCTTTTAAATGATAGCTTGATGATGATGATCCCTCCTACCTTTTAAATGATAGCTTGATAAAGATGATTATCCCTCCTACCTTTTAAAAGATGGCTTGATGATGATGATCCTTCCTACCTTTTAAAAGATGGCTTGATGATGATGATCCTTCCTACCTTTTAAATGATAGCTTGATGATGATGATCCTTCCTACCTTTTAAATGATAGCTTGATGATGATGATCCCTCCTACCTTTTAAATGATAGCTTGATAAAGATGATTATCCCTCCTACCTTTTAAAAGATGGCTTGATGATGATGATCCTTCCTACCTTTTAAATGATAGCTTGATAAAGATGATGATCCCTCCTACCTTTTAAAAGATGGCTTGATGATGATGATCCCTCCTACCTTTTAAAAGATGGCTTGATGATGATGATCCCTCCTACCTTTTAAATGATAGCTTGATGATGATGATCCCTCCTACCTTTTAAATGATAGCTTGATAAAGATGATTATCCCTCCTACCTTTTAAAAGATGGCTTGATGATGATGATCCTTCCTACCTTTTAAAAGATGGCTTGATGATGATGATCCTTCCTACCTTTTAAATGATAGCTTGATGATGATGATCCCTCCTACCTTTTAAAAGATGGCTTGATGATGATGATCCTTCCTACCTTTTAAATGATAGCTTGATAAAGATGATTATCCCTCCTACCTTTTAAAAGATGGCTTGATGATGATGATCCTTCCTACCTTTTAAATGATAGCTTGATGATGATGATCCCTCCTACCTTTTAAATGATAGCTTGATGATGATGATCCCTCCTACCTTTTAAATGATAGCTTGATAAAGATGATTATCCCTCCTACCTTTTAAAAGATGGCTTGATGATGATGATCCTTCCTACCTTTTAAAAGATGGCTTGATGATGATGATCCTTCCTACCTTTTAAATGATAGCTTGATAAAGATGATTATCCCTCCTACCTTTTAAAAGATGGCTTGATGATGATGATCCTTCCTACCTTTTAAAAGATGGCTTGATGATGATGATCCTTCCTACCTTTTAAATGATAGCTTGATGATGATGATCCCTCCTACCTTTTAAAAGATGGCTTGATGATGATGATCCTTCCTACCTTTTAAATGATAGCTTGATAAAGATGATTATCCCTCCTACCTTTTAAAAGATGGCTTGATGATGATGATCCCTCCTACCTTTTAAATGATAGCTTGATGATGATGATCCTTCCTACCTTTTAAAAGATGGCTTGATGATGATGATCCTTCCTACCTTTTAAAAGATGGCTTGATGATGATGATCCTTCCTACCTTTTAAATGATAGCTTGATGATGATGATCCCTCCTACCTTTTAAAAGATGGCTTGATGATGATGATCCTTCCTACCTTTTAAATGATAGCTTGATAAAGATGATTATCCCTCCTACCTTTTAAAAGATGGCTTGATGATGATGATCCTTCCTACCTTTTAAATGATAGCTTGATGATGATGATCCCTCCTACCTTTTAAATGATAGCTTGATGATGATGATCCCTCCTACCTTCTGAATGATAGCTTGACAGCTGAGGTAAACATGAATATTCCCAAACAATTATTCAAACCATCAATCAGCTGCAAGATACAATAATCATAAAAGCCATGGAGGGGGGGGGAGGAAAACATCCCCTCGAACCGCCTAGATTTTGTGAACGGACTATAGTGTACATTATACAAGAATGCAACAATAGATGTACAATCGATTAAAAACCCGATACATGAGACTGTTAACAATCGAACTGACACGACTGATACTGGTACCTACGACGACTCGTTATAATGTAAATATTTTCAATTCAAATCTACATCAGCACTCTTCTTTTTTTCCTTGTGGCACCTAACCCTGGTATCTTCATCTTTACTTTATTATTGTTGAATGAATTGGAAGAATAACTATTTAGGTAAGTGATCAACTATTAGAATATTGACAATACGTGATACGTGTCTATGCAATGTTTTGTGGGAACGTGAAATTAACTGAGCTTTGTTTTACACGAAGCTCGAACATGAACCCGGCTAAGAAGGGTTATTAATTAATTGCCACTAAATCCCTTTTTGCCGCAAAAAAATAAAGCACATCAATCACTTTGAAACAGGAAATAAAGTTGATTTGACTATGACAGTATAAACACGAT